CCAATAGAAAACCACAAAACCAAACCAAATCAAACCAAATTGAAATCGTAAAAAATCGTATTTGATTCGGATGTGTTTAGGCCATTTTCTAACGGAATCGCGTGGTTCAGTTCGGTTTTCGGATTGTATTTTGCAAACCAAACCAAACCGCAGTATGTTATAAAATCTTATTAACCAATAAATATTTTTTTAATTCTTCAGAGAAATCAACATGTATTATGTGTATATTTTATCATATTCTTTGTATGATATTTATTTTAAGTTACATATCATTTAAAAATAAAATATTATTCATTTACAAATACTATTTTCACAAAATATATTTTATAGTATTCTTTGTATATTTATTTAAGAATGCAATTTTATGTATATCAATCTTTAGATTTAGATAAAATTATAATACGCAATTTTATGTATCAAATTATAAACTTATTTTGACAATTATAAATTTTTTATGGTAATTCTAGCGGTAAAAATTGGAGATCAAGCTATTAATTAACTTGACTCGCAAAAGCAAGAGTCACCACCGCGCTTTATTATTTCCAATGGAAAAGGGAAAAGAGCGAAATAAAACCCTTAAATATGCAATGTAATGTAATACTTAAAAGTAATGAAAATACAATGCGTTTTTGAAAGAGATTTAAAGTTCAGTGGTTGGTTATACAAAGGGAATGTACTAGCACCCTATGTATCTATAATATCCTATAGGAACCTTTTAAAATATCTGTCTTTTTGGTTAAAATTGTTTGTTTGGTTAAAATGGGTATGAATGAGATTTTGAAGACACGATGATCTAGTGTCGAAGTTTTGACTTAAAAGAGGGTAAGTTTTAAAATTAATTTTTTTAGGAGAGTTTTAACTTAAGATTAACAAAATTAAAAAATGCATGAAGGATTTTGCACAATCGTATTACATATATTTGATGACGTGAAGTTAACAAATTTAATCATTTCTCTGGGAATAAAATGGACATCAAAATATAAACAATCAAAAATTCACAAGAAAATAAATCTAACGAAACAGATTAATGACCAAAAGGTACTGAAAAATTAAAATGACAAAGATATTTAAATACAAATAAAAGAGAATGGAACTAATTATCTAAATTAAAATTTTAAGATTACTTACTAAAATAATTATAAACTAATTACAAATTCTAAGGTTATAAAAATAATTCTAAAATTACTAAATTAGATCTAAACTAAATTAAAATTTTAATATTAGTAAATTAAATCTAAACTAAATTAAATTTCTAAGATATTAAAATTAAAATTCTAAAATTACTAAATTTAATCTAAAGTAAATTAATTCTAAAGTTACTAAATCATATCTAAATTAATTTAAATATAAACTAATTAATTATTAAAAAAAAGGTGTGAAAACAGAAAATTAAGGGGTGAATATTAATAAGTTTTAGATGGGCCTGCTGATTGGAATAAGGCCCAAGGCATAGAAAAAAAAACTAAAAAAAATATAAAAAGAGACTTTACTGGGCCAGACCGGGTTAGGTTGGACCCGGATCCGACCCAATTAAGCAAAGCAAAAGGGTAAGAAAACCCTAGAGAAATTTCAACGCCTCAATTTTCTTATCGTACTTCTTCTGTCAAATGAACTCTCTCTCTCTCTATCTCTTCTTAGACCAGCTCCAATGTTGGGTTCTTATGTTAAGTTTTCCACCTGGCAGCATTAAAGTTAAATAAAGTAGCTGCAAGAGTTCTCCAAGTGGAGAACGTATTACGTTGAAGCAACGGTCCTTATATTAAAAAAATAATATAAATTAACTAGCCGTTGCATAACGGTTCATTTTTTTTTTGTTTTTATTTTATTTTAATAATTTATTTCTTTATAAATATGATAAAGTGATAAGTTGTATACTCAAATTTGCTCTCATAATTTTATTTCTTTCTCTCAATTTGTTCTCATAATTTTATTTATTTCTCACAATTTACTCTCATAATTTTATTTCTTTCTCACAATATCATCTTCCTACTTTAAATTAAAATTGTTTAGGCCAAATGGATCCTAATCATTTTCATTATCAACAAGCTATGTTCAATTACATGTCAAATTATCAAAATCCTAATCCTCAAAATTCTCAATTTCCATCTGTGCCAACAAACCCCGCCATATTTTTTCCAGAAACACCGATTGAGTTTATATCCGGATGTCAAGTTCCAACAGTTTCTACTCAAGTTGGTACTGAAAAAGAAGAAAGGGTTGTCGTTAAAAAAAAAATCTCGAGAGAAATTTACAAGGGATGAAGATACACTGCTTATCCAATCATGGCTCAATGTTTCAAAGGATCCAATTATGGGAGTTGATCAAAAAGCTGAGAGTTTTTGGTTAAGAATCGCTGCCAATTATAACCAGTATCGTGGGCAATCGCGGGAAAAGTTAGGCGGGCAATTAAAATGTCGATGGCATCGAATAAATGGCTTGGTTCAAAAATTTGTTGGGTGTTACAAACAAGCTGTTAATGGAAAAAAAAGTGGGACATCGGAGAACGATATCATGGTTGCTGCACATGCTTTTTTTGCTCAGGATGAAGGTACAACATTCAATCTTGAGTATGTATGGCGATTGTTAAAAGATGAACCTAAATGGATGGTAGAATCGATTGGAAATTCTTCAAAAATTACAAAGAGCTCTGCTAGTGGGGCATCATCGGATAACCCAAATACACCTTCAAGTTATGAGTTTAACTCATCATCACCAATGGAGCGTCCAATGGGACAAAAAGCAGCAAAAAGGAAGGGTAAGGCAAAGGAAATTCCAAATACAATGCAAGATGCAAGGATTAAAAGAGCAGCAGCAATGGAAAGACTAGCTCAATGTAAGGAGGACGAGCTAGAACTAAAGGCAATGAATATCATTATGAAAGACACTTCTACTATGAATGATAATCAACGAGATATTCATGAAAAATATTGTAATAAGATGGAAAAAAAATATGGAATGTAGTTAGTATCATTGACGTAAAATGGTCATTAGTACCACTTTAATTTATCAACACCTATGTAAAATGGTCATTAGTACCACTTTAATTTATCAACACCTATGTAAAATGGTCATTAGTACCACTTTAAATTATAATAAATATTATGTTATTCAAATTAGCTGTTATTCAAACTAGCCGTTATTCAAACTATCCTTTATTCAAACTAGCCGTTATTCAAACTATCCTTTATTCAAACTAGCCGTTATTCAAACTAGCCATTATTCAAACTATCCTTTATTCAAACTAGCCGTTATTCAAACTAGCCGTTATTCAAACTAGCCGTTATTCAAACTAGCCGTTATTCAAACCATTATATATACTATCACTTATGTCATTGTTTTCCCATTCTCATATTATTCTTCTATCATACTTCTCTAATTCTTCTCTCATTTTTCTATCATTCTTAATTCACTAAAATGGATTCAGACAATTCAGTTGATTTTGACCAAGAATTTTGGGAGTTGATTGAAGAAGAATTTATCGACGATAGTGATGAAGAACAATTGCTTGAAAATGAACGTCAATCTGGAAGTTCATCTATGCCAAAGAGAAGAACAATGGTAGATCGTAGTCGTGAAGAAGGGCACAATCGATTATTCAATGACTACTTCTCGGAAAACCCAGTATACACAGATGTTCAATTCCGAAGAAGGTTCAGAATGCATAGGCATGTATTTCTTCGAATTGTAGATGCCCTTGGAAATCATGATGAATATTTCCAAATGAGGGTTGATGCAACTGGTAAAATGGGTCTTTCACCATTGCAGAAATGTACATCTGCTATTCGTATGTTGGTGTATGGGTCTCTTGCTGATGTTGTAGACGAATATGTTCGAATAGGTGAAAGCACTTCAATTGAGTGCTTACAAAGATTCGTTCAGGGCGTGAATGCTGTATTTGGGGCTGAGTATTTGAGAAAGCCTAACAACACTGATGTTGAACATCTTTTACAAATGGGAGAGTCACGTGGCTTTCCAGGTATGTTGGGTTCCATTGATTGTATGCATTGGGAGTGGAAAAATTGTCCTGTTGCATGGAAAGGACAATTTGTCGAGGTGATCATGGAAAGCCCACAATCATGCTTGAAGCAGTGGCATCACAGGACTTATGGATTTGACATGCTTTTTTTGGTATTGCTGGTTCAAACAATGACATTAATGTGTTAAACCAATCCAACGTGTTTAACGATATTTTGGAAGGACATGCTCCCAATGTGCAATATACAATCAATGGAACACCATATAATATGGGGTATTATTTAGCCGATGGTATATATCCTGAGTGGGCTACATTTGTGAAGACCATTTCAATGCCACAAGGAGAGAAGAAAAAATTATTTTCTCAACATCAAGAATCAGCTAGAAAAGATGTGGAGAGGGCATTTGGAGTGCTTCAATCTCGATTTGTAATTATACGTGGCCCAGCGCGTGCCTGGCACATGGACACCCTCAAACATACCATATATGCGTGCATCATATTGCACAACATGATTGTTGAAGATGAACGACATACATATGGAGGTAATTTTGATTACTCTTATGATAATGTGGATAACAATCACTCAACAACTGAAACATTTAGCGGTCCTCATCTGAATCTTGCAACAAGACTACAAAGAAGAGCAAATATTCGTGAAAAACAAGTTCATCGTCAACTTCAAGGAGATCTAGTCGAGTATATTTGGGAACGTTTTGGACATGAAGATGATGAAATTTAAGTTTGATTAATTTATGTGATGTTATTTATTTTTATTGTTTTTAATTATATGTAATGTATTTGAAATTAATTTTAATTATCATTTTAAATTATAAGTTTAATTTGAATTTTATTTATTTTATATAAATTTTAATTTAAATAATTAAAATTATTATTTTAAATGATATAGAATTTAATATGAATAAAATATTAATATATAAAGTAAAGTTGTGGGACCCATTATGAGTTCTTTAGAGTTGCACCATTGGAGTGAAAAACTAGTTGGGTTGCTTCAAGCTGACGTGGCTTAATGGGTCCCGCAAAGAACCCAAAATTGAGTTGCACCATTGGAGATGCTCTTAGAGCCTCCATGCCTCCTCTTCGAATGCAACAGTGAATCGTTGTCGTGGTTTCCACCTTCCGGTTCAACCGTACGCGCAAACTCCAGTAGTTGCATTAGCGTCTTGTGGTGCATGTAGTAAGCTGATACAACTACAATGGAAGCTCTGACGAGTGCCAACATGGCCAAATGCACCGCGTGCGAATGCATGAATAATGAATTATCTCTCTCTTTGCTCTCAAACAACAACAATGAAGGCAGTGTCGATGTTTGAACAGAAACTTGGTGCATTGCCATGACAGAACATTGGTGAACAAAGGAACTGGTACTGTGAGGGGAATGGCAGATTAGTAAGTAGCGCTTCAATGGGTTGGTATGTGAAACTGTCTTGCTTGGGTAGCTCGCAGAGAGTTTAGAAGGAGGAAATATTGGGCAGTGGTGTTGACAGAGGAAAGTTAACGGATGAACTTCACGGAGTGGTGCTGGTGTGAAGTTGAAAGTTGGGTTGTTTGTTTTTGTGCATGAACAGAGGTTAAGTGGGTGATGTGGTGTGGAGACTATGAAGAGAAGGGTGTGTAAACGAAGGGTATTGGTGGAAAGGGTGGTAAGCTGTGTTGAAGAAGGTTGTGTGAGTGTTTGAGGCCAAAACGGAAATGAAGAGGAGTTGCATTTCTCATGGTTAAGGGTGGATGGAGATGGTTGGAAGTTATGTTGTTAACAGAAGATGGTATGTTGATGTGCGGAATAGAAAGATAGCACGAATTGGAAGGGAATCCGGAAATGGATTGGAGGAGAAGGTCGTTTATGCTTTTTGATTTTTTTCTTTGTGATCTCTCCTCCTCTCTTCTTGTAGCAATAAAAAATTATTTATCCCATTTTCTTATTCTCCTTATATTTGTTTTGTTATTGTTGATTATGTTTTGCTGAGCAAACAGGTTATTGATATGAAGACGGTGATACAAATCTATATGGTGGTTATATTCCTAACTTTTTTGGCTTATTCATGAACCTTACAAAAAGATTTGGTTTAAACTAATATTTCTCTTTATTTCATTTACAGTGATAAACAAATACAAGTTATGGAACACCAATAATTTATGAGGATGATCAAATGAAGAGATGAATATTGAATTATATGCAGAAGGATTGCAGAAATATTTACCTATCAGAGCCTCTCCGATGGAGCTCTTTGAAACAAGGTGAGTTCAAGATTTTCCCTCTTCCTCTGACAACTCTTTTTGATAAGAGAATAGCAACTCATGGTGTGAAACTCTTGTGAGGTTATGTTTTTTTTACAGTAGTGTTACTTCTTTTTCTCTTCTCCCCCTTTTCTCAGTATTTATGTCTCTTCTTTATAGCCAGTCCCTCATAGAATTGGAGGGAGATTTTGATAAGTTTGAACAATTTTGGTGATTTGTTTTATTGCCTTGTTGATACAGATTTTGTAATTCTATTTGGATGTGCTTTTTGGACTGTTTTGACAAGGATAAACACAAGGGTATGGTAGACTTATGCATGCTGTTTTCTGGTTTATGTAGGTTGTGGACAACAACAATTTTGGATATATTTTCTTGTTTTTTTTTTCTGTGCAGGGCAGCAACATATGTTTTGTTTTGGGACTAATTTTGGACTGTTTTTGCAGGGCAGATTAGCAGGGTATGCAACAGGTTTAGGGATATGGAATTGACAGTTTTTGGTATGTTTTAGTGCAGGTTTTGGAGAAGCAAACAGCAGCAGTTTGGACTGGTTTTTTTTGCTTTCTAAAATGCAGGGCAGCAGTGTGTATTTTTGGCATTTGGACAACAACTCATGCTTGGTGACAAGAAGACCTGAAATTGTAGGGAAAATTGAAATTTAGGATAGTTTAGCATATGTTTACATGTAAATTTAAATGTATTTCCCTCGATGAACATGAATGTATCTTGAATTTGAAACCATAAAACTTGAAAAGTTTTGTAACATGGTGGGATTATTCAAAGCTTAGACTCAAAGTTCATGATGTATTCTTGTGATAATAAATTCGTTCAAAATATTTGATATAAGATCAAAGTTGAATGGTTTGTAAAGTCTTTGTCATAGGATTTGAATTCTCATGATGTACTTGAAATTTATGACATAAGAAAAATTAGGAATTCCTCTTGTGACTTAAAAATGATGGTGATGTATCTTGGAAACTTAAATCCAAACAAGTCTTGAATAATTCTAGTAGTGTAACTTATGTGAAAATGTGTTTGGGTTCTCAATATACACTTTGAATGAAATTTAAATGGTAGTTGAATGAGTATCTTGTATTTTCTACTAGAATTCCAAATAAATTACATGAATTGGTCTTCAAAAATGAGCAAACTTGCGTCATGAGAAATTAGTTCTTTTGTATATCTTGAATCCAAAAGCAAATTCATATGAATGAATTATGCCTTGCACACTTGAATCGATCTTAATCAAACGATCTCTAATGTTTAATTGCAAATGTCTTGAAGTAGGCAATAAGTAATCAAATAATCATTGAACTAAAACTCTAGTTTCATAAATAATCCCAACATAAAAACCAAACGTCCTTGGAGAAAACATTTGTGGCATGAATTGAACCTCGATCTTTGAAGTAATCTCGTAGACAACGCTATTTGTGATACTTCACAAAAATAATCGCCTCAAGACGTTGAAAATTGAAGAAGTTATGACCGTTTGAATTAAAACTTGCAAGAGTTTACTTTTGGTCGAAGTTCTTTAAATCGTCTCACATAGCCTGATCTTTTCTTGCATTCCAAGATGAATTGATGCACATGTGAACCAATGATGATGAAATCTTGTCTGTGCTTTAAGGAAGTTGTGGAGAAGCTTGAGACCACTTGTCGAACAAGGCGTGGAAATAAACACACGATCCTCTAAAGTTCCAAAAGACATCTTTGATCAAAATGAGATTGAACGATGCTTGAGACTCTATTCTCTAAGATTAGAGGTTGTGCCTTGATGAATCAGTCTTCAAGAATCCATAATCAATCGTACTCTTAGATTAGGAGACTAAAAACCCTAATTGAGGTGTGACGCCTGATGCTCTTGATTCAGACCTGTCTCTGCACATGAAACAAAAGAAAACACGAGCATACACCTTTGTATGAGATTAGAAGTTAGTGATACATAGGCTAAAAATGTTCAAAACACTTGACAATCTCTGCATAGGCAATTCTCGAAGGTGAGAGGTTAAAACCAATTGTATTTCGTGACCTTGATTTTTTGAATAAAAATGCTAATAAAGATGGGATCTTAGGTCAAAAATTTGGGTATGACAACTGCTCTTATTTAAGTTTCTTCTATTCGAAGATATGAAGATTGAAACATTCTTCTCGACGAGATTGAAGGGACTTAAATATAGAATACACAATTTTTGGCCTTAAGATACCGCAATTATGTTTATAATATGATATGAATGTAATATTTTGAATTTTATGGGGAATGATGCCACATGAGGCAAACTACTGCTGGAGAAACCAAGCACATGATAAAATAATCCCATAGGGGAAGAGATTACAAATCCATTGGAGAAACAGAGCCACAAACTTCGAATGAGATACTCTTATTGGGGAATAATTTTGAGATAAGAAAAGTTTCTGACTCTATCAGAGAAGACGCTTTGCATAAGCTGTGAAAAGATAAATGACTACTGACTTGTGATGATGGTAAATTTTTGACTCAGGGTCAAAGGTGTTGGCTCCTAAATTCGACACCTTTGTTTTAATTGATGACAGCCATTAAAGCTGAAGAATGTCTTCGACTGGCTAAGTCTGTCGAAATGCCTGTCGAAAGATGGCAAAATGCTTAGAAGGTTTCTTCCAAGGAAGAAGACTGATTGCCTTCGACGTCGAAGGAGTTTCTCGTCGAAGATGTCTCTTGACGAACGTGTTCGATGGTCCAGAGTGGAGCAGTTTGAAATTCAAGCTTTTTGGAGGGAAAACGGTTTCCAGCAGTTACTACGTGCGGACGTGCAAGGATCTGGAGCGTCAAGCATGGAGAACGTGCCAAGTGGATTGATCTCGAAGCAGTGTAACTGCCCGACGGTTACTTGGAATGTTTTAGTATAAATAGGAGTAGACATGTAGTTTCTCGCGTGTGTTCACAATTATATACATAGTCACTCATTTAGATTCGAGTACCCAGCGTGTGAGAAAGAATTATTGAGAAATGTATGTGTGAAACACCAATTTTATCAATTAAAGTCATTTACTTTCCCAGAATTTTACTTGCTTTTCTCCTTTAAATTCCTGTCGAACCTTTACTTTAAAGCCTTGTTTATTTTACCAAGTCTTTCCTTTATGCAATTCATTTAAAGCCAATTTATTTAAAGCCTTATCCAACTTAATCAAACTTCAAAATCAACCTATGTCCATAGGATCAATCTGATCGATCCTGCGAGTAACCAAATAAGTAACCATTTGGAGGATCAGCGGTTGTTTACCAAAACCCAAGGTAAACAAATTGGCACGCCCGGTGGGACTGTGTGTTGATTGTTGAAAATAATCTCATCTTTTCGAGTTGTATGTTATTGAGGAGTGGTAGAATATACACTAACGATAACAATACTGCCAGAAGAAGGGAAGAGATGGCGAATCCGCCAAACAATAACGAAATCCCACAAACGAGTGTGGGAGCAACGGTTAATACGACCGTAAGTGAAGCGACGAACGTTGGTTCGACACCAGCAGTATCGGTCACAACCATGGGGCCAACAACTTCGTTAACAGGCCCCAGAATACCTTTGGGAACTCCCCCACCAAGGGGAAATTTAGGCACAAGGCCTTTGGTTCCCCCAGGATTTATTCCATTCTATGGTATGCCAACTTCTGAAGTGGCAAGCCTGACGAATGCTGCGTCCACTTTTTCAGACCCTTTCGTGAGTGCCTCTTCGCCACTCCAAGGCTCTGGAGTAGGCATGGGGAATAGAAATAGGACCCAACTCTTAGGAGGAACGTCCCAAGTAGCCCATGGCCTTACAAATGCCTCGACAGCAGTCTTGAGGCAACAAATGGACGAAAGCAACCATGATATGGTGCAAATGTTGGCACAAACTTTGAGTACAGTGCTAAATCCTCTAATACAAAACACTACTCAATCGAATCAGCAAGTTACAGCGCAAATGACGCGTTTGGCTGACTTCTTTGGAGTACCCCCACCTGTTCGACAGCCTCAAAGGGCGCAAATAAGGGGAAATCAGG